TATATATATATATATATATATATATATATATATATATATATATATATATATATCAGCATTTAAAATATCTTTTAATCATAAAATAAATATACTAACATATATTTATTTTCTTTTATATAAAAAAAGTATCTTTTAGAGATTGAATTAATCACATTTTATATACTGAGCTTGTATTTTCAATAATCAATACGAGAAATGATAAAATATTTCTTTTTCAAGAATAGCAAACTTAAATTTGAGTGAATTGTAAATAAATATAATATTGATATATGAGCGGTTTAACAGCTAAAAAGATTTATAGATTGTGCAGTTTTAAAAATTGTGTTATATTTAAATAATTATCTTCAATAGTTCAAGTTACAGTAACAGGCTATGTAATCATACTGGCTATGTAATCATGAAGGAAAGTAAAAATGTGTGTAAACTTACCTTTGATAGTATATTGTAGATCATAAGTATCCATGCTCCACAAACATAATTCGCCATCTTCTGTACCAGACACCAATATAGCATCGTCTCTGAAATTATAAAGAAATTTGTTCAATTCATTTGTTCAATTCATTTGTTCAGTAAGATGCAAGATACAACAGAAATAAAACATGATGTATGTTGTTAATATGTGTATTATTGATAATGTGACTAATTTTTAAAATGTTTAAGAAAAAGTAGCAATTTTATTCTCCTTCTTACCTGGATATATCGATACAAGTTACTTTGGAATCGTGATCCAATTGTGCGATAAAACACTCCGCGGGTTTGATCTTTGAGCCAGAGATATATCCTCGCCAAATTTTCGCGGTGCAATCCCACGATCCGGATATAATGACCTGACGAGCGGAGCTCCATGCTAGACACGACACTGCATCCACATGTCCTTGCAAGATATCGATTACTCTACCGAACTCTATATCGTAAAATATTCTGGAAAAAATTAGTGTTGTTAAAATTGCATATATATAGTAATGTAAATAAATGTAAGAATTTAGATTGTGAAAAATTTAGAGACATTTATGTCTATCTTTATACTCTATGTTCTCCAAAATTTTTGACCCTTTTTCAGATCACTCTGTATAATTTCCCATTTTCTTGTGCACACAATACAGGTAGTATTATATTTACAAGGTATTGTCCCAAGATCCTGCTACGAGAATGTTACGTTGCGACGGTGTGTAATATGAGATGCAGGACGACAAAGATAACGAGGACAACTTAACACTACGTGTTACTTTCTTCTCGCTTATATTATACAATTTAAGCATTCCGTCCTGCCCTACTGATATGATCTCGTTACATGAGTTTATATTCTTTTGCACGATACTGCTAACGCAGTGTTTGTGCGCTTGAAAAGCTACTAATTCTGTGAAATTAAATGATTTTTCCTTTACACATGCACTGCCTGAAAAATTAAAAGAAAATATTTAATAAAAATAATATTATGTGCGCGTGCATGTGTGTATAACGTGCCTAGAAAGAGGAATTATAAGAAGAAAAAGGAGATGTAAGACATACCTTCATTAGCTATTTCTGGCGATAACAATAATGCTGCGTTGCGTGATAAATTTACAATCGACGTTGATCGTTGGGGATGAGGTAGAGTGAAAACTTGCTTTGGTATCTGACCGAACTCCATGATTTGCACTTCGAGTCCGTGCCTATCATTTATATCTCGTACAGTGTCTAAATCTACTGCTCCTTCGTAACATAAATGGAAGAATACTGCAATAAAAGATATATTAATATCTCAAAATTTAAGTAATCAGTGTTACTAATATTCTATCAGCATTATTAACATAAATGATATATAAAATATCGAATCCTTACCATTGTCAGCCTCTTCCGCTTCAACTCCTCTTTGTTTGTATCCAAAAATTAAATCGATCCAATGATGAAGATTTTGCGAAACGTATTCACTTTCTAAAGCGTCTCTTAATTTTTTTATAAAGTCAGATGGACCTAAATCGATAAAATATTACATCACATATAATATCAAATATTTTATTCTATAATTGGTCACATTGACAACATGAAAATAATCCACTTAAATTATTATTTAGTACATGAAAATAATTTAAAAATCTAAGCAAAAATGTAGCATGCATTCGCATTTGAAGTGAAAATATTTCTTAATGGGAAATCCTATCCTTAACATACAAGTATTATTTATAGAAATGGTGATCAATAAATTGAAATTAAAATCAGAAATCTTATTACTTTCTGCCCAAGGTGGAAGCTGTACATCGTTTATTTTGGCACCATCGTGTCGATGACCAAAGTCGATACCATAGCTGTTAACTAGAAAGTCACCACCGTTGCTTGTATCGTAAAACTCCGGTATCAGCTCTTTGAAATCAGACATGTTCACCAAGACATTTTTCCACACGTCAGCTATACTGTTAAATGTTTTTGTTGATAAAAGTGAAACATAAAATTATTTATCTACGACTGCAGAGTAATTATGTATTTTGTATGATATTTGAAGCATTTCTTATATTTCACATTTAATATATATTTTACTCCTTGAAAAGTAAATATATAACTTATGTTTTATAAGTTATAATTTTGTCAGAATATAAGTTTTTTTTTCATGTATATTACTATTATATATAATTATTGATATTTTAGAGTAAAATATAACAAAAAGTTAAAGAAAAAATATATATACCTGTTGAACATTCTATCTGGATGATCAAATCTTCCATTTTGCAGACAAAGCATATACTGAGGATACTTTCGTACCAAGTAAAACAATACAAAGCCTGGTGCACTGTAATGAGAACCATATAAAAACTTTGGGTCGGACATTTCCGAATATCGTTCCTGCAATAAGGTAAAGATATAAAAAGAAAATTCGATATATACTTCACAAAATTCAAGATACATATATGTATAATAAAATTTAATACACATACTTTTAGCCTTTCTAGACGAATAGGATTTAATGCACCAATAGGTTTTGACAAGTCTCTATAAATATTAGTATCATTTAAATTTAATGTCGTGGAAATATAATCCTGTATAACCCAAGGAAATACTGGATATTGCGTCAAATCATGAAACGTCCTATCTGCTAAACTAAAATGTAGTAAAATGTATTATATATATTTTAAGTCGACAACTTTCAATACTTTTATATAATCACCTGTTTATATATAAAATATAATCGTAATTCGATAAGTATCCATTACGCCATCTTAATAACATTTGATTTTGAGGTACGGTTTCTAAGGAAACCGCCGATTGCTTAAGCAAATCTTCATATAACCTGTCTCTTTTTTCCTGACTCTGGAATGACAGAAATAGATATTCGATTTTACCACCAACCTGTCGTATCCACTTAATCTCAAGACCCTGTGAACAAATCACTGATACAATCTTCTTAAATGCATTTTATATTTTTATTACTGCACATCATTCTATTTAAAGCATTAATAAACTTATTAATATTAATAGAAAATATTTACCACTTGTCGTAATATGAATCTCCTTTTTATAATACTCTGTATATCTTTCAGTTGTATCTTGAGAACAGGATACTAAAAATCAAATAATGAATAATTAAATCTAAACTAATAACAAAAAAACCTTGTTGCTATTAATGTAATACAATGCAATAATTACCTGGTCTGTATTATTGTAAGGCTGAAAATAAAGTCTGGCTGTAGTTAATAATACTCTTCCAGGATTTATTACAAGTGGTAACACTTGATTTGCTTGTGTCTCTAGGACCACTTGCTCATACAAGTCTTCGAGCCATGACATGTCAAAGGATACACCTGATTGCCTGGAGTGTACAATAGCCATAATCTTTAAAAGTAAAAGTATCATTGAGACAACTTTAATAGTTTACAGTTAATACAATGCTCAATGCAATAATGTAAGAGAATATTACCATAGCATTCTGTTCTGCATTTGCTAAACTTGCCGCTCTGTGCAATTGCAAAATTTGTGGAAGGCAATCTTCTATTTTTGTGTAATTAAAACAAAAATGGAACATACTATTCTGATGTACAAATCTGTATGGTGCTAATATATTTTTCTCCAACATTTCTACATATTGCTTGCATTCAACAGACAATATATCACTAAAACAATTTTAAATACATGAATAAATAAGATAGTAAATATCAATTTACAAAAAGATCCATATTAGAACAAAACTATTGCAAGTTATAAGCTTGTTTTATTAAATTTGAAAATATGCACATACCCTACTTCATTAGTGGATATATATTGCTCAATAGATACAGTCTCTTTAAATTGAATCTTGATTAGTGGTTGATTAATATCTTTATTTACAAATACCAGGGATTTGGAACATAGTTTCAGTCTTCCATCTATCCACTTTTTATTTTCTTCAGATGAAGCATCTGGCCTTCTCATCTGGACACTATAATCCTCAAAAAATATTTCTCCAGGTTCCGAAAGAAGCATTGTGAATCTATGATATAAATATAATTCAATATAACAATTCTAATTACAATGGTATTACAATTGTCAATCAATAAAATTGTTAGAAGGAATGCTTTATATTAATTTTCTGAAATGTATATAAATGATATATATTTTCCTTCAATGATTTTATTCTCATTCTAACCTATAAGATATTCTCACGTTATTTCACTACAACAAAATCTTAAAATTGTTTAAATTCAATTGTCAAAAACACATTAAAACACGAATTTTGTAAACCTCAACCAAATTGACAGACAGCATTCCTTCTGGCAAGTTTTGCCTTTATCAAAAGTTTTAATAGATACCTTTCTTTCGCCATCGTTGTATAAATAAATAATTCATATATCAAACTCTACAAATAAAAATGTCAAACAATTAAAAGGATGAATATTACATATATAAACGTTATATGAAAAACAAGCCTTGTGGGCAACCAAAAGCGACGTAACTGTTACCTTGATGACTAAAAGTACAGATTGGACAATCGTATTTGACAGCTGAAAGCAATGTAGAGAGGTTGCGATAAAGATGTAAAGAACAAAGACGCGCGCTTCTGACTCGGAATTGAACTACTTTGGCGGCGCTGGAGCTCGAAGATGAGCCGACATTGAAACACACTGACTCATATAACACAGATTCGGTTTTTCCGATGACAGATCTTATCCATATGCAAATTGAATAGCAACGATCCGTATAACCCTCACTTCAATCGAATCAGCGCTAACCTAACTAAAAAAACAATATTAATGATCTCGGTGACGAAACTTTTGCAAGCTTTCACAAATATATGAATACAGAAGAAGGTAAAAAGGACGTAAACTGTTATAAACAACATGGCGTACCGCGTCTCTCTGATTTTTTATAAATATCTTTATTGTACGCGTATATATTTTCCAAAAAGCAAAAACTTATAATTTATATATGTCATAAAGAAAAAATTATTTATATATATATATATATATATATATATATGTATATATATATGTGTGTGTGTGTATTTTTTTTATTAATATTTAAAATTATGATCTTTTTTCTTTTAATTCTGGTGGATAATCCACCAAGCCTTCAATTTTCTTCGAGGATATTCATAACTTTCTATGCGGCTTCAGATTATCTTTTCAGTTTTAAATTATATACACATTCTAAATTCAAATTTCGCGGGTGTCACAGCCCTACCTTCGTATCTTTTGCTGTTTTTCCGATGTATAGAAAGAATTTATAAAGCTGTAACGTTAATGTTAGCAAATTATAAGTTTAAGAATTTTTACTTTTCCTGATGATCTGATCATAAGATGTGTACTTCAAAAGTTAAAAAGGATCACACTGAGCATGCAAAGTTTAAAAAAACTGACTTCCAGAAGCATGTCAAACAATAGAATGAATATATATCTCCTTCATGAGAGTATTATATA